ATTCTTGTTTATAGATCATAAAAGATGAATGTAAAGGCTTAAAAAGGACACTGTGCTCAAAAGGCGGCTATCCCCGGGCGCTCTATTATTTTCAACCCTTAAGTACCAATTCCAAAAAGTCACACAACAACGCCATTCATACCATAAATAAGTTCAAATGCGGTTAGTTTTCCGAGCGACTACAAAGCAACAAAATATTTTGAGAACACGGCAAAGGTATTTTCGAATTCACAGAACGTAAAAGTCCAACTTTCTATTAAAATTTAAGATTACCTCTATGTTTGGGAGTTCTAATTTATACGGTTTTGTTGTTTTATATCCCTAAATCCCCATAAGTGAATTAGGTCCGTTTTGGCAACAGAAAGGCGGCAGAATTATGACTCTTTCTTCATTTAAAGGGCTACAGTTTTCTTTGAGTTCAAATCGCTCAGATTATTTAATAATCTTTACATATATGCAGTTTTCATTCAGCATAACTCTTCGTTAAATTAACTTAACCAACAAAGTTCAACGAAGCACATTTTCAGCTTCGCAATTTCAACAACATAATCTCCGAAGAGTCGAATTCGAATCTAATTTAAAGTTGAGTTCCAATTTAAGTTGATTTGCCTGTTTAAATTGCTTATTTGTAGGCAATTTTCACCTTTGTATAATTTCTTTGAGCAAATTTGGAATTTTTCGTGCAATTATTAAAATTTTCCGGTCTGCGAGAATTGGATTCTGAAGTTGATTTCCTTGATTTGGAAAAATAATGAAAATTAAATCTCAATATTAACATATTTTCATTAGCACTAAGCTTCAAAAAATCCCAGGAGAGTGAAAATTAAAAAAATGTATAAATTTACCCAGATACAAATTGTGTTTTGCATTTTGCTTGGCGTCTAAAAGAAAAAAAGATCAAATGGTTGGCGGTGAACAAACGACAAATCTTCAAAGATTTCACGCCAGACTTCAAACGATTACTGTAAAATACTTCGGAAAAAAAGACTCCAGTACTTACAATCTTTATTTCATGTGTTCTGCACAAATGTTTATATTCTAAGTATCTATCTAAAGATAGCCAGATAACGAAAAAAGAACAATTCTATGTTTTTAATGACACCATGGTATGAAAGATATCGCGCACGAAGCGAGCTTTTGTAAAATGCATCGCGTGGCAATTAAACAACCAGAGCTGCGACTTCAGAAGTTCAAGAAGCATATGATAATAATAGAACCCCACTAATCAAGTTATAGAGAAATCCCGAATGTTCCGACTGTATTTTAATGTGTCTCAAGTAGTTTTGATGAACAAAAATAAAATAATAATCTATAAAAAATATGTAGATTTTTTCTCAAATATTCTGTTTTCTCCATACGCAGTATATTGACGCAATATTTTTATCAAGCCTCAAAACAATATGGAAGTAATTAGAACTTTTGATTTCCACATTGAATATTTACGAACTATAATCTCTTATTATTCTGACCGCTGAGAGTGGGGAAATACTTTGTATTCGGGTGTGTTTTAGTTTTTAATCTACTTTTTTTGTTTTCCACTATATATCATGGGAATAGGTTGAGTGACATATCATATTAAGTGCATTCCAGTCGTGATTCGAGCAACTTCATAAACTTTTCAAAAGTATTTTCCCAGTGTCGAGAAAAACGAAAAAAAGTTTGTCAAATTTCGCGCAAGTAAAACTTTAAAAGAAAATTTGCAAGTTAGACTAGAAAAATTGATTTTAATTAAAAAATAGCTTAAGAAGCTTAATTCAACGCTTCTCTGGCAAAAAACTCAAAAAAAATATTTAAATTTTTTTTAGTCCAAAAAATTGTAAGACAAAATTAGAAATTTAATTTTTGAAGACAAATGTAATTGTTTATGTCTAATTCACTAAATTTTGTAGCATTCGTCTAATTTTATTATTCCGATAACCCTCAAGTAGCCCTCTTCTACGAACAGTTTTTTGATATTCTTTGTCTCAATAAACCGCAAAAATTATGAAATGTGAATTTGAAGTTCAAATTTGGTATCAGACTTTTGAGATAGAGGTTGGTCTTCATATACTAATTTATACAAGGCAATGAATCATTGAATGCACGTGCAATAAGGTCTATGCAATTTTTATCACAAGGAAGCTAGTTTTTAAAAATGAAAATTGATCAAAGTTGAGCTGATTAATGCCTAAAAGTCGATTTGCGGAATTGATTAACCTAGGTGACAAATAAATGTTCACACTTAAGTTTTATTGTCACCGATACGATTTGCGGGTGCATAGAAATTTGTGTCCCAGACATTTGTGTCCTTGATAAAACATTCCGAGCGTATAAAATTGTACCAGACAATTATGTACTAGACAAAACTGTCCAAAATTGTTTGCGAAATTAATTTCTCTAAGTTGACATTGTGATCCTTAGTGCCTTGTTCTTTTGAGGTTGTTTGATTGTTCTATAAATAGATTTTATGTTTACCAGCTAACCATAAAACAGTCAAAACGACTCAAAAAATTAAAGAAAAAATTGAAATTTAAAAGCGCGTTTGACGGTGCGTTGAAGTCACTATTTCCTAGATCAAAACTCGGAAGCTGAAATCTCGGGTCCAACAAAAATTCCCGTAAATTGTTTAAAAATTGAATTTGAAAAACTCAAAATTGAGAAAATTGGGGCAAATTTGGAATGAGTGGACTCGATAGAGCCAAAAGGAAGAGGGATGGGACAAAACTCGACTACATGGATCTTTTTGCCATTTTAAAAACTCATCCAGTTCGATCTTGAAAACTTTATTGAAAAAGTACAACTTGGAAAAGTTTTATTAAAAATTTTTGTTCTGCAGTAAAAGCAGACACGGATTTTCGATCCCAATTGCTGTGATTTTTGAAAACTGTTATATTCAATTTTTTCCAAGCAAACTGAACATTTTTATGTACAAACTGGAAACATTCCAATTGAGTAGTAAAATATCAGTTCTGATAAATGAGCAAAAGCACGTTGGTTGATATTTTTTTTGGCTAAATGGTCTTAGACTAGCATTGAAAACTGAATTCAGACAGTCAATGAGTTCATTATGAGTTAGGACCGATGGGTATAACTCATAGAGTAATTTCGGATAGGGTACACCGTCTGCTCGTCACGCTATCTTATTTTCGGCCGGATAGATTCGTGCAACTTCTTAGTCTAATACCGATCCTAATCTTACTCTTATACTATCTAGTCTCAGGTTGTTTAACTAGTCTCTGCTAGGTTCAATAGATCTAGGGTATACTGGTTTATTGCGGCTGCTGAAGTACTCGGGAGAGTTCAACTAATTTCTAAGTTAAATTCAAATCTCTCTGGTGCTGAAATTACAAGTAATTTCAGCACTTACAAATAAGTGGATTGTTAGTTAGATGGATCATGATTGGTTAATATTAAATACTTTACATTGGTAAAATATCTAATTTATCCAATCATAAAATGTAGTTTAGAACAGGTTCCACCCATCCGGGTTTTACAGAGTTTTTTAGAATAGTCTTTCTGCAATTCAAAAGATGGATGATGGACGTTGGTATTTGGCGAACATCTTATTTCTTCTGGGTTTTCTTATTAGAGAAGTCCCAGATTCAATCGTTGTGTCTTCTCAAGACAACGACTGGGTTTTCGCAACAAACTCAAATCTGATTTCAGAATGGTTGGCTATGTCAGGTTTTTCTGTTTCATTGGTGAGAACTTCTTTGTGTTTGACCTTGTCTGGGAATGGCGTGGAGATTGTGCGTGGAGGGGATGCCTGGTTACTCGGATCTGTACGTATACTTGAACATCGAGGTGGTCATTGGTCTAGTTCAATGAAGTCCTTTTCTGCGAAGTCAAGTCGTACTCTAAATCCTTTGAGTTGTGATTGTGGGCGGCATATTGATTGTAGTTGGCCATTCTTTCTCGAGTGTAGTAGTGTCGTTTTGTCTTTGGATGTTCGTCCTTGGTGTTGTATTCTGATCTATGTATTGCATAATGTAATTTACATTTTATAAAACTTTTATTAGTTTAATATTTTTTAATTATGATTTTAGTTAGTTGTTTTCACAAAAGCTTTTTGTTTTAGTTCAGTTATTTTGAAGAGTTACTCACCCTTGAGTAGCTCTTATTAAAAATAGGAGTATGGTCACAAAGCGTGGATGTAGCGCGGTGGGTTAGGCCGGCTATAGAGCATGCTCAGGACGTCCTCTCTGGTGGGTTAGGCCAGGAGTGGGAGTATGATTGCATGCGGTTTTTGTGAGAGGTCCTGTTATGTGACAACGTTTTATGTTGGGTTTGTTGTGGTTTTTCTTATGTTTTGTTGGTTGTGTCCTTTTTTCAAAAATCAAATTGTTTGTGGTATGGGTTTGTCTTTCGACTTTTTTGTGTTTTATTATTTCTTTCTTAGACTTTATAATAGTCTTCAAAAGAATAAATTATCCAGTTTTAAACTGGGTTAATCCGGTTTGGGTACCGTTGGTTTCCTTTTCTTAGTCATGCTGTTATGCTATGTGTTGTGGTGTTTAGTAAGCTGCATTGGTTAGTTTTGTTTAGTATATAATTCCTTATTAATTTACTACATAGAATTTTATCTTTACTGCTAGTTGTTGGGGAAAATTAAGTTACAAATTTTCATCATTATTAGATTTACTGCTTGTGGGGGAAAAATTTATAAATTAATTTACTGCATTGGTATTATATTTATTTAATTGTTGGTGCAAAAATTTAATAGGGTTTTAAACAGTTTTGAAGAAGTTTGCTATTTTTTATTTTTCTTTTGTGAATTTTTCAGATGATCTAGGATGAAGGCTAAAATTCTAAAGA